GGAGATGGATTGTTTTTTAATTTGATTGTGGATCTGGAAATCGGATGCTTGGGAGTTGTTTGTAAGCGTTAGTCTATAAATACGAGATGCTTGTAATTCCTATAATGGAATTGCTGTAGAATCGGATTCAACTTTGTGTTAATTGCCATTTTTTTTCAAATAAATGTGTAGACAGAGGGAAATGTTGTGGATCTGTTTAATATGCAGCATGCGGCTGTTGATCTCCTGGTTTGTCTATTGAGTTGATGTTGTTGCCTTWGCAGAAACTTCTCTGGAAAGGTATCTGCTGAATGTACACATAACTGTTCTATTCTTCAGTTTTTGACCAATTCAAAGGTACAYTTTTCTAGAATGGATGTGTATGTCTGCATTTGTGAATCAACGGGTGCTTTTAATCTAATAAACTTGCCTTGCTAGGATTTCAAAGTTGATGGATTTGCGTTCACGCATATGTTAATCTATGCCTAGTTTTAGGTGGATAGGCGTACCCTGCTTCTTGTTCCGTGTATGATTGAATTATACGTGATAATTTAAGTGTTCTCTGTTCCATGCCTCCTACGAGCAATGACCATGATCATAATTTACTGGTTCTGACAATGTGTGGTTATTCTTATATCTGGTCGTTGAATGAATTCTACCTGCTTGAGTCTTACTTGTCTGTTCTTCTGGAAAACGTAGGATTCTGGGTATCATTTAGTCTACTTCAATGCATTTTTCATATTGAAGATATGATATCTGTTTTTTTCCTTGTGCATTGAATTTATTGTTGTTCCTATAACTCCATTTCTGACAGGACTGCAGAAGTATTTGGGTTCCATAATAATGATAACAACAAAACTTCTTGTATCATGTTTTGTTTGAGTTGAATTTGTATTTTTAAGGCTTTAAGCATGACATTATGCCAAATTGATGGCAATATATATATATTCCCTTTAATGAATGTCTGGCCTCAGGTTGCATTGGTTTAATTTGGTCAACTCAAAATGGGAGGAGGGTTCAGAGTTTTGCATCTTGTCAGACCATTTCTGTCATTTCTACCTGAAGTTCAGAGTGCTGACCGCAAAGTTCCCTTCAGAGAGAAGGTGATATACACTGTGATCTCTCTTTTCATCTTTCTAGTGTGCAGTCAGCTCCCTCTCTATGGCATACACTCTACAACAGGAGCAGATCCATTCTATTGGATGCGTGTCATTCTTGCTTCAAACCGTGGGACTGTCATGGAACTTGGCATCACCCCAATTGTGACATCTGGCTTGGTGATGCAACTTTTGGCTGGTTCAAAGATCATTGAAGTGGACAATAGTGTTCGTGAAGACCGGGCCCTTTTGTAAGTAACAATTATCTCTCTCTTCTAGGCTTCTAGCTAATATTCTACTTCTGATGCTCATCTAACTCAGTAACTTGTTAATTAGAGCAAGTGATGATTCAGTCACTTGTGATTAGAGCAAATTTCAGATACAAGTGGTCCTACAAGAGGTATAACCAAGGACCAAAGTATTGGTATCGGGTATCATATCAGACAAATTGGATATGGATATGGATACAGATATTCTTGGGAAACACATGGATATGGACGAAAAATATGGAAACGCTTKGATACACTAGGGAAATGCACAAAAATTCCAYAAATATATTTATAATATTAAGTTTAATGTTAAAATAATTATAAATAATATATAAATACATAGGAGCTTTATATTTTAATGGTATATATGAAGAAATATGTTACAACTAATATAGCGAGATGCATAGATATTATGCAATTTTATTGATAGTGCATCAATCAAGAATCTAAGACATATTATGTAGATTCTTAGAAATTAATACATGAACAAAGCC